TGTTTTTACCCGCCTAAGGCGCAAGCAATATGGCAAATTTGTGATTGAATTCAAGAGCTTTCACCAAAATGGCAATATCTCGGAAACAGTTGCATAAAAAAATCTGATCTTTTCAACCAAACATTAGTGATATATGATTGACCAAATTTAGTTTAAATGACTTTGCATACCTACATATATCATTAGTTTTTTCAATGAGAATTTTTATTTGTAAAGCAGTGACACTTTGTTTTCATGTCACTCATCACCTAAAGGGGCAATATCTCCATAAATTTATATAAAAACCAAAAAAAAAATCATTTACTAAATTAGTACATATCTATATTATAACCAATTTTCATCTTTTGGGATATGAATTAGAAAACGATCAAAAATTATAAAAAATACTCATTTGGTTTTTTTGGGCAAGATATTTACAACACGAAATTTAGAACAGTAACTAAGTGTTCAAATTCAACAAAATGTGCAAGCCAAAACACAGTGCTTGTTCATCTTTGGAGTTTTTAATTACCTCAAATATATTTAAAAGGACATATGGTACTAGAATTTATTTATTTTCAATATAAACCAAGGATGGGAAGGTGAGAAAATATGAATTTTCTGAGGTGTTTTTAACACAGACAATGAGAGCCGACATTTTCAAAGGCAAATTGCGGTGACAAAACCAAAAGTTATTCACTTCTCTACTCAAAGCACTGAAAAACACCATAAAGAGAAAAACATTTTAAACATACATCAGGTAAGCCTTTTAGCTCAATTTTCGCATGTTTCTGTCTGGAAAGAAACGGTTTTTAGCCAAAATTATTTTGTGTGCCAATGTAGGCTGCTATAAAATGTCAGACACGCGTTCTCTTTTGAAGTCTGGCTCTGAAAAACAATCGCTTTTTTAGTTTGAAATAAGCTTTCATTAGGACTAATTGTGTAGAAATGTTATCTGTATGCTCAAATGAAAAAGATAACCTAATAGTCAGGTATTCAACATAGCTATAAAAGGGTGAAATAAGGACTTTCATCTTTGGTTGTTTGTCAGACATGAGAAACCACATTAGTGCCATTTTGTCGCGCGTGCTATTTTATAAAATAAACACCTCAAAACCATAAACTTTTAGTTCAGAAAATAACAAAGTTTCCCATACACATTAGTAAAAATGTTCTAGTGAAGCGATTTCATGATAAATAAGTGAGCTATGGGCCCAAAAGAACTGCTAAACTATGTTTTTGTTAGGACTTCAATTTCATGGCTTCCCGCAAAGGAAGCCATTTCAGAGAGAAGCGGCATTTTGCAAGCAACGGTCGTGACCTATTTTTGATAACTTTTCCTTCTGATTCAACGTGTAGTTACTAGAAAATGAGGTTGCATCAACATTATTATCTGCTTTATCGATTTAAAGTTTTATGGGGATATAAAACCCAATAGAAAAAGCGTTTTAAAAGCTTTAGAACTCAAGTGCAGACTTTTTGAAAATTCGCACACGGCAAGCAAGCGCACTAATTCAATACACTTATTTTAAACCACAATATGTCTGAAACGAGTTGTCGTTTTAAGACTAAATTGATGAAAATAGATATAACGGTGATTTTGGAGTGTCCTACTTACTTAGTGTAATTTAATACTCGAAGTATTCTTGCCAAAAAGGGCACGTACGCACACAGTAATTTAATCTGGTGTCGTTTGAAACATACTTTAGCTAAAATAACAACTTGAACAAGAAGACCAACAATGG